TCGAAAAGAAACTAATATTTCACTAATATATACCACAAACATGACATAATTTGAAATGTGCAATTTACAATGAAAGAAGTAACACTTATTTTAATCTATGTCTTCTTAAGTTTTGATTATTAAAATTAAAAGAAATATATTTCAAAACACTTATATTATTCCAGATTTGTGCTAATCGAATTAAAATATAGACTTTGCAGACTTGTACTAATTAATTAGTTATGGTCAGCTGTTTTGGAGACAGATGTTTATTATTGTCTATTAATAGCTACAGAAACAATCTATAACATAAACGTTTTAGAAGTTAAATAATTTATAACAAACGTTTAAGAAGTTATATTCTTTCTGTATTATTCATATTTCTATTTAGTAAATATCTAATGTATGTTGCTTGGATTTTCTTGTTATATTACTACGTCGTCTGCAGAGTGGCGGTATATAATTATGTCTAGAACTGGGGCGTCATGCCGCAGGCATATAGCATGATGACCCACCCAGTCACATGATCCTGACACCAGACATGTAGCATGATGTCCCACCCAGTCATATTATCCTGACACCCGGCCAACCAGTCCTATCAATAACCTCTTAATGATGATACAATTTTTATAAGTCTTTAGTATGACTCTGTCGTGTATTGAATCCGCGACCTCTCGCATTAGACCATTAAGGCCACCCGAGCGGTCAATTTAGTTGATAAGAACAAATTCCTTTGCAGTTGAATACAAACTAATAAACTGACCATTTTGAGACTAAAGTCAAGATTTAATAACAAATAGTTCTTCATATCTTAGACTCTCTTGTCAGATATACTTTTATACGTGCTTAATGAGGCGAATACAACATTAAAGTAAATTTGTATTAAATGTGTTTCATTGCAAAGTTTTATTAATTCCCAAACATATATGAAAAAAATGAAATATAACTTACACCTCTAATGCGTTTATATTTGTAAATTAGAAACAAACATGCAGTGTTTGTAAAATTGGATAAATAAATTACATAATAAATACACAAAAAGCTTATAAAGCAAACACTTCATAAATGTTTTCATGAAATGTAGTTTTGAACAAGCTATTAGTTTTCAACATGCTATTGGGTGGACAAGAATAAACATCATACCAGAAGAAGACGAAATGCTCAATGTACAACCAGAATTTTATCAGGACCGGATTATGTAAGGAAATGATCATCGATTTGGGCGAGATCTGTACGTTAGATGGTAGAATGGACCATCGATTTGGGCGAGATCTGTACGTTAGATGGTAGATGCACAACAATCGATAGGGATGAGATCTGTACCTCATATGGCAGAATGCACCATTGCTTGGGATATATACTACTCTGTAAAACTCTCCAAATGCCAGACCTTCTCCCGCGGGACACGTGCAATTACCAAACCTGCCACTGGAGGGTATTTCATTATGTACATACACATTTATCAAATTTGCGATTCTGGTTTGCAGTAAGCGACTATGGCATTTGTGGATGGTTTGGGGCTGCTACAGAAATAAGATCAAAGATAACTTTAATTATCACCCCTTGCGAATTATTTGAAGCTAATCTTGCAATTATCTCTGCATGTGGTGCCTATCTGTAAACATCACACCCTAGAGTGCAAGTACTTTTGACTCGTTCGGTTAGTTTCGGACATGTCTCCCGATGTAGCTTGACAGTGTTAGATCAGCTGATGTTTGTCAAATGCATCTTGGAATTTTTGTACTAAATGTTTATGTTTTATGTCAACATCTTGACAAAATACTTATGTTTTATTTTCTTTTCAAAAGGTAAAATGTGGATTTATGTAAAAACAACAATAAATCTGAATTTAATATATTTACTATGTCTAAGGTCACTTTTCAGTTTATATATGTTGATGAAGATAACGCATCGTGTTCAGACAGTATGATTTAGAGACAGTATGATCTGGAGACAGACAGTATAATCTAGATACAGACGGTTTAGAGAAATATAGAACGATTTAGAGACAGACAACATGATTTAGAGATGAACAGTGTGATCTAGACACAGACAATATGATCTAGATATAGACTGTTTAGAGGCAGACAGCACGATTTAGAGACAGACAGTGTGATTTAGAGACAGACAATATGATCTCGAGACAGGCAGTATAATTCAGATACAGACCGTTTAAAAAAAAGTCACGACTTACAGACAGTATTATTTAGAGACAGGACCGTTTTGAGTAAGACAGTATGATTTAGAGACACACAGTATGACTTAGAGACAGACAGTATGATTTTGAGACAAAACGTTTTTAGTCTGACAGTATGATTTAGAGACAGACAGTATAATTTAGTGACAGACCGTTTTGACTCAGACGGTATGATTTGGAGACAGGCAGCATGATGTAGAAACAGGCGGATAGATTTATAGACAGACTGTATGAATTAGAGAATGACAGTATGATTTTGATACAGACCTTTTTTTAGTCAAACAGTATGATTGAGAGACAGACAGTATGATTTAGAGACAGACAGTATGATTTAGTAACAGACCGTTTTGAGTCAAACAGTATGATTTAGAGACATTCTACATGAGTTAGAGATAGACTGTATGATTTTGAGACAGACTGTTTTGAGTCAGCCTGATTTAGAGACAGGCCGTTTTCAGTCTGACAGAATGATTTAGAGACAGATATTATGATTTAGAGATGGATCCTATAGAGACAGACTTTATTATTTAGAGGATACGTGTTCAAATCAGAGCATAGAAAGATATTTGGGATCCAGAGGAAGCCATTAAATTGGTGAAGTTATTTTTAGTTTCATACAAAATCGTTTTAAGATTAGAAGACATTCAAATGATGACCTTCGACTGAGCAGATGATTGAATATCGCTGTTTTGCTTTCTTTTTGATAATTGTTGTCATGGTAACATTCGAGCAATTTTACTAAAATTCAGATTGTGTTCATTCCATCGAATGGAAATTTGAGAAGAGTACGTGGTTTTGTAGTATCTCACAGTCTTCTTATATCATTCGGCGATTTCAAGCGAACCAGCTATGCGTTATGGAATCAAAGCACCTAGACGCTTGGCGAAATCCATTCATAAGTGTAGAACAAATTTAGTCTGTTTTAAACGATGACTACATAAGATAAACTGACTTTTGATCTTCATGTTCACTCATTAGTCGAAAAGGGCTTTCAATTTTAACACTATAATTTCCACCTTTTAAAATCTACAAGAATAGAGCTATTTGTGAGCTTTTACATTTTGTCGGCCAGTAACAGGTGCATTTTGAAAGAAACGATAGCGTTTGTAAACCGTAGGAGCAATTATCTGTCGCCTACTAGTGTGGCAATATTATGATTGTTCGCGGTATTGATTGTTAGTATTATAGTTATATATTTGTTCTTGTCAGAAGTTACATGTTCCGCACAAAATTTGTAAAAGAATAGTGTTTTGAACAAATATTAACTTGATATATTCCCGTCGTCTGCTGCAATCTTTGCATAGATAATGGAATATGCATTCTTATAAAGGACACAATTCTTCTGTAATATAGCCCTTTCGTCGTGAGATTCAATAAAAATATATGTAAATTAATAATGTTAACAGTGCATACTCCAACAATGTATTATCGCGGGCTCTATATTATCGCCTCAAACGAGATTTTCAGATTAATTTGGGACACCCGCCATCTAGCGGTTGTTTACAGAGTAAAGCTGTAGCCAATAAGGATACAAATTTCTTATAGCATCATATCGACTAAAATGTCAACATTTGCTATAAGTTAACTATGAAAAAGAATGAACATAACATTTTTTAAGTGCATGCATTTACGTTGATCATCATATTAAAAAAATCCGGTCGAACTTGCTATACCTGCATTAGATTTGATTACGAAATATATTCAGTGTATGACCTGATGTTTGATGATAATAGGTCATATAACTTGATGTTGTCATAATGTCTTTACAAGGTCAAGGTGCAATTTCATTGTACGGTAACCAATGTGGACCAAAATTTACAAGATCTTGCTGATGATCATGCTTTTCGTACGTAAATAAGAATATAGCAACAAATAATAACTTTCTTGAAGCCAATAATGTTTCAATAATAATATTATTAATAATTGTTATATATTTGAATATTTTCCTATATTGCATTTAAAATGAAAATAAAATTAAATGATGATTGCTTTTAATTTGTAATGTTGTTATTTATGGATTTATACTTGAATTTCATTTGTGTGTTCGATTTTATCATTGGATCATTTCTTTTTTTGGGGAAATATTAGGCCAGTATACGTGTGGACATTTCTGCTTATAGGTAAGATGTTTTTTATGTTTATTGCGATAACTGCATGCTACCATACGTAAGTTAGGCAATACCACGACAATAAATTTATGTTTATTGTGATAACTGCATGCTACCATACGTAAGTTAGGCAAATACCACGATAATATAGAGTTGTTCTACCATGTTACGTTAATCTGGGTCATCCACCATGCTGTTATATTTACAATTACTAGCATCGATTGACCGATGTTTTCATAGTAATAGAAAGAGTGAAAGTCTTGAAACTTTATACGTAAAAAGCAAACAGTTTTAATATGTACCGATAAGAGCATTAAGTACCCCGAGAGTACTGCATTCCGGGCTAAAAAGCAAACAGTTTTAATATGTACCGATAAGAGCATTAAGTACCCCGAGAGTACTGCATTCCGGGCTAAAAAGCAAACAGTTTTAATATGTACCGATAAGAGCATTAAGTACCCCGAGAGTACTGCATTCCGGGCTAAAAAGCAAACAGTTTTAATATGTACCGATAAGAGCATTAAGTACCCCGAGAGTACTGCATTCCGGGCTATATTACGTCTGCATAATTTGATATGCTAGTATAAGTTATCAACGATTTCATGTATAACTGTTGAGAAAAAAAGGAAGAATAAAATATTTAATAAACAAATTGTCATGTGATATTTCACAAATCATTCCTAGAACACAAGAACTAAGTGCTTTACTCAAGAATACACCAAGGCAGCCGTATCGAACCAGCTACACTTGGATTACGAATCCCACACTCTGCCAACTGAGCTACCGCGGCTGTCACGCAAAACATACATTGGAATGGTCTATTAAAAATTAAATGATCGATCTTGTTTTTGTTATAAATGCATTCATTTATTTCATAGGCAAGGATCTGTGTGTTATATAAGAGTTCCAAATTAAGTTAACATTAAGGACGAGAGTTGTATACCAATTTATAAATTGCAAGAAAGTTTAACATCATTCAAGTTCGATGTAATGATGTCTTAATAAACGCTAACATGTAATGGAACTCTTGCCATTGATTGAGGCAAGTTGTCCATCAAGTTACCAGTCAAGATTAGTCGTACAGATTGGATGCAGATGTCTGGAAATTCTTTGAAGAAAATTAATAACATACGCTTCCTCGGGAAACTAAAGCGCATGTACTGACGGAGGAAAGACTAATTTGCTCTTTTTGGAATAAATGCATGTAAAACTGTTTTGTGTCTCGCACCCGAATAATAAGATGAAATAATGCGTGTGTTAAATATTATGTAAGAAATGCATCCTAAATGATCCCCTTTTGTAAATAGTCACTGCCAGTCATTAACATCTCACATTTTATTATAAACAAAGAATCATTTGAGGAACTGTACAATACGCCTAAAATTACCCAGTTAATATCAATCAATCCATTTTTTATTTAAAAAACCCCCAGGACGTTTAAAAACTGAATGAATACAAATAATTATTAAATTAATATATTACAATCTATTCATAGACGATATAAAAGATGAGGGTTGTAGCATGATATTACAAAAAATAATATTTTTTGTGGAGGATTATTTCCCTTGTGCACTCTTATCAGCGAAGTACCTGTAATTGTTTAATGATGCCTTTTAGGCACTTTGATCTATCTTGAGCTGTGCTAAGCAATGGATAACTGTCATTTATGTTTATTTGTAAAATTCTTTTCATCAGATGAACAGATACAGCAAGCCACGCTTAACGCTCGCACTACAGTTTTAAAGATGAAAGAGGTGAAACTCTCTGTTTATTTACTTACTTGATTGGCGAGGAAATGGTGTGTTCTACAAATATCAATATCACATCCGGAGAATTATGACTTCTTTCTTTAATGAACACTATTTTATTTTCTTCCAGTGTAGGCCATATTTCTTCTAATATATGACATTTTACCATTTTTATTACCAATCAATTAATGAATATTCAAGACCAAGAATAATAACGCAACGTTTAACCAGATTGTTATTTAAGTTGAAGATTTTGTATCGTTATCATTACCTTTTCGATACAATTTGACGATTTTCATTTAGCTGGTGTATGTCCATTCATCTTTTATGTTGTCTTACAATATCCGAAATTAATGCATTTCGAAGCAATGTAATTTGCAGAGACATCGCAGCAGGCGCACGTTAACGTAAAATAGATTACAGTGTACATGATTTCATTTCCGAACTTTTCCTGCAATGCCTCAGTAAACATAGGCATGTACTGTACCTCTCCCGTTGTGTCCAGATATGATTGAGAATCGTAAACGTAACTTGATTATCAGGGCATTTTTTTCGCAACAAATTTCCATCTTACTGTTGCAGCATTTATTTTTTTGAGTGTGTCGGTTTTTTTTCATATCTTCCTAATGACTTTTAATCAAAGTGAAGAAAATAATTTTTTTTAATGACGGATTCTAACAATCGGTTCTGTCTGCCTTTACTTTGTGTTGAGATCATGAGGTATTGTCTTGCATATCAACACAATGTTATTGTGTGAACAATGCAAATAAGTCTTACTCATGCTCACTGCGAAATTATTTAACATTGCAACTGTGGAAACATGCATTGATTTATTGGAGGAGGCGCTCTACGGAAATTATGAAATTCTGAGAGAGTGGTGGATGTAAGGTGACGTTGTTTGCATATGCAGCATGCACAAATAGAGAGAATGTTGGTATACCTCTATGTTACTTCCATGTACTGTGGTTGAAATATTTTTGAACATTGTAATTGTGGAAACTGTACATGGATCTAAGCAAACAGCTAACTCAAACTGCTGCTCTGTTATGCTCCAAATATCATCCTGAATTAGTCTAAAGTACCCTACATTTAGCAGTTATTAGAATAGGTAAGATTAAGTTTGCCGGACAAGACATTAATAGCTTCTGAAAGTGTAACTAATGAATTACCGAATATATAACATGCAAAAAAAAAGTTATCAGTTCTCTATTTTACAATTTACGTCTGATGGCCTTAAAGTAAAAATGAGTTAACGGGTTTTTGAGAGAAGAACATCTGAAGTAAGACCAATCTATATTATCTATAACCCATATTAAACACATCAATCAAACTCTATAACCCATATTAAACACATCAATCATACTCTATAACCCATATTAGACACATCAATCATACTCTATAACCCATATTAAACACATCAACCATAAAAAGATAAATAAAGGGAATTAAAGGCTCTTGAATAATAAATAAAATACAGGTCTTTTTTAATTAGCCAGTATAACCAATGACGAAACCCGGGGAATTCGCTTTCTTTAAAAATTCACACCCTATGCAAAATACAAAACTGTAGAGCGCCACCTAAAACAAATATGAAAGTTCGCACACTTTATTTTTCCTTTATATCATTATGTATGATGTTCTCAACAAATTGGCACATCAACCTTGATGTTATGCATGAAAATAAACTGCGTTCAGGCAGTATTGTGTGAGTAATGTCTTTAATAATGGAGAAGTCTTAGAATATAGGAATAAAGCCAACTTATATTTAAAACCGTTACATTAAATGAAATAAATATATAGCGAAAATGTTGTTTTTTTTGTTTATTTGTTATGAAATGAAGAAATTATTTACGACAAAGCAAATTTGCTTTCTTCCATATTAAACGATAAGTAAATATTGTAACCTTTGACCTCCATGAACATTACCTGTTCTATCCCTTTTCAAGCTAAAATTCATTGGTGGCATTTCATAAAAAAAATTATGGCAAGTTTCACGTTCCTGTATAATGTACCTTTTTAAAAGCATGGAATGGGTAGGCTGGGTTTGTGTGAGACTCTGACACTGATAAATACTGTTCTGTGGGGTGGAAATACAGAAGAATCTTTCAAAAGGTTTGTTTTGATGCATGCAACTTAAATCACCAAAACTATATCATAAAATAATAATACCCATGTGTTCTTTATGATGGCGGTTTATAGATATTATCAACTTATGAGAGAGGCGGGTGTAAGGCGAAGTTGTTTATATTTGCAGCATGCACAATGGACTGAATGTTGGTATAGCTCTATGTTGCTTTCATGTACCATGGCTGAAGTTTCCTTGCATAATGTACTTGTTGAAATTGTACATGATCTAAGTCCACAGCTAATTAAGATGGATGTTCCCTTGTGCTCAAAAGATCAGAATGAATTATTCTAAAGTACATTATCTTTAGCAATTATTAAAATAGGGAAAATTACTTTTGTCGGACTTAACAATACCAGCTTCTGAAAGTGCAATGAAAAAATTGCCGAACAAAAATTGGAAAAAAGTTATCGGATCCTTTTTTACAATTTACTTCTGAAATCCATCAGGTGAAATTGACCCAGCGGAGCTAGCAGTTTGTTTTTAAAGGTGCACATCAAAAGTAAGACCAAGCTGTATACTCTATAACTCATATTACATACCTATCATACACAACAATAAAGGAAATTAAATGCCCTTTGTACAATACCTAATATATACAATATCTTGTTTAAACAACCAATATAACAAGTGAGCAAATCAGGGAAAATTCATTTTCTTTAAAATTGTATCGCTATGCAAAATACGAAATTGTATAGCGCCACCTAACAGATGCCTCTTTTTAAGGCATTACTAAATGATTAGAATGATTCATCCTGCTTAGAATGTTTGCTTAAAATAGGAGTTAAGCAGTTACAAAATGTCTTACAAAATCATAGATGACGCTATAGTGATACAACATTTTGAATAATAAATCTATTAACACAGTTTGAATTTAAAATACAAAAGAAAATAAAAATAGCGTGAATTACTGAGCTAGAGAATAAGCGCTCAGATGTCGATAAATCTTCCGTACTTTGCAAGTTTGCGACAGTGAAATTTAAACATATATTCAAAAAGGATATTAATGTTATTTTATAATTAATATAGATTAAAGCGCAATGGGTAAATGCCCATTTGGCGTCTTCAGATACTTTGCATATATTTTTGCATTAATTATATATGCCGGAATGCAATGTTGCTAAAGCCGGAATTTTAAAATATACACTTAACTTCAACCCTTCCTTGGCATTTTAGAAACTTAATTAATGTGGAGAAATTCTTGCAATTGTTTGTAATTCATATTTCATTGATGAACATAAATTTTGCTTCAAGCAGGTACAAAAATTTATATAAGAATTTTCTGGCATGAGTCAGTAATGAATCATTTTGTGATATGGCATCAAAGAGAAGCTTGAATAGCATTAATATAATTTACAGAGAGGATTACAGCCTTTCCTTTAGCTCTGGATAAACGTGTCGGAATGATGCCTGCAGAATCGTCGACTTCCTCTTTGCTACAAAGAAAAACTCTTTTGAAGCGGTTTTCTTAAACCTCATAAAAAGTAATACAAGTAGTTTGGTAAGATATTGGTAAATTAGAATGATATGAAATGACACATTTTATATCGGCATCTATTTTATGGACATATTCTGAGTAAGTAAGAAAAGACTGGCTGTAGAAAGACTGAAGTACGATACAAAATGTATTGAGTGCTTTGAAGTATTTGATAAGAAGCATAGTAACAGTAACATCAAGAACCAATACATATATACTTTCTATATGCTCCCATATGCAATGGGTGCCACAAAAAGTCGAAGGACACCGTATAATGTTAATCGTCATACCTTCAGTGTGGCAAAGACAATTAGCTCTGATTTTCCACATCCTAACGCTGGTATTAAAAGGTTCTGATCCTTAGAGCGCTTTTTACAGTTCTTTATTAGTGAAAAGTACGTCATTGTATCCCTTCAAAGTTGTCTCCCTTTACCTCAACA